AACCTGATTTATCTTTTTGCTTCAGGCCTAATATGGCTTGGCAGAGCTCTGTTCTTGACCAGCCTCTTTACCTTCTGTCCCTCCCCATCCTACTCAGTGAAATCAAATGGATCTTTCTAGAACATACCGCTCCACCTTGTCACATACACAACCCCAAGTGCTTTCTCCCAAAGTCCAGTTCCTGCGTATTATTGATGGCTTGGCTTATCGTGTGCCTACCGCTGTAATTCTTCCTACTCCCCACCATTACAAGTATCCTCAGTGCACGAGAGCCTGCCTTTCCCTCGTGTTAGCCCCTGGTGAACAACAGTCTTCATCATTCTAAGATTCCTACCTTTGTTCCTCCTCACATGGTTGTGTGCCTTCTTTATTTGTCTGTTTTTGCAGTGCTGAGGATTGAGCCCAGGGTTGCACACATACTAGACAAGCTCTCTACCACTGAGCTATGTCCACAGAACTTGTGCATGTTCTTTTTTACCTTTTGGTATGTTACCACCTTCTTGTTCTTTTGCTATCTGGCCCTTCACCAAACGTTCAAGGTACTCTACTTCCTCCAAGTTTCCTTCCCTGCTTCCCCTTCCCAACACATTGGTACTTAACCCTGTTGTACCCCTCACTGTAACTTCCTGTTTACTTGTCTGTGTGATCCTGAGGGTGTGGCTCATTTCTTGCTCATGTTGTGTTCTTAGAATCTATGTAATGTAATATTGGTTTAGAAAGGTGTACCATCCCTACTAGCTCTGTGAACACATCAGCATCATCCATCAAGTACCTATTATAGAACTTTAACCATCATTTGTAAGCAAACTAATCTTGAGCCACTCATGTTCTTGTTGTACACGTAGAAGAAAAGACAGGCTGAACTTAAACAGACTGGAGGTAAAATTCTACTTCCATTGTTTTATTAGCCATGTGGCCTTTACAGCTTTACTTGCTATCTAAAATCTCAGTTTGCTCATTTTCAAAACAGAGAGGAAACACTAATCTTGCCGAATTGTGGCAAAGATTGAAAGTGACCGTGTCAGTATGAATCTTGGCATGCCAGCTGATGCCAACAGGTGTGCCATGTATTTTAGTTCCTTTCAAGGATCACCTGTGGGGCTGACAAGTGAGAAACTGTCAGGCAGTTTTTAAAACTGACAGAGACTGGGTGTGTTGGTTGCCTCTCATTAACTCTTCTGTTGCAGCCAGGAAAGAAAGGTGCCAATGAAGAGACTTTCTGGGCAGGAACCTGCTTTGGGTGGTGCCCTTTATAGCAGCAAGGTGGGGGCTATGTGTGGCAGATTTCTACTCTGCAGATACCCTGCTTATTTCTCTGCAACTGAGATGGTTTCATAATGAAGTGGAACCCTGGTGATGTGGTTCTCTTGAGTAAAAAAGTCGTTTTCATACTCTACGAAATAGTTATTAAGTCAGTTCGTGAAATGTCTAATAACAGGCAGGTGTTGAGATAATAGAAACATGAAAGGCTTCTTAGGAGAGGAGTATCAACCAGCAAAAATGTGTGTGGTTTACGGTATATTTGGAAATTATCATCTTTTCATTCTTTTTTTTAAAATTTGAGACAGGTTTCACCAGTGTCCTCTGGCTCAACTGATGACAGTTACAGAGAAATTATGCCCTAAAATACATAGTTTTATTTATAAAACCAAATGAATTTCTCCTCTTCACAAAGAGCCTCATGTGGAGACAAAGGTAAATCCATGAAAAAAGGCAGCCATGTAAAATCAAGCTAATACTATGCATAGTTAGAATTCAAAACCTTTGAGTTGAGCCAAAATAAATCTACACCAACATCATCCAGGTCTTAAACCTTATTATTTTATACCCCACTCACTGACAGATCATTTCTGTCTTCCCTCTTGTTTCTGCACATTGTTCTAAGATCAATTTCTGTCAATGCTTCTTTGCATATTATCCCGTACTTTCGGTGGCTTCCCTGCAGTAGGAAAAATTTAAACTTTTAATTCTGAATTCTAGTTCTTTTCAGTTATCTACCACCTTAGGAGGTCCTGTAACAAACTATCCACCACTACCTACTTTTGAGGATTTTGTTTATACTACCAGCTACCCTCTAGCAAAGATCCTGCTCATACCACCTGCTGCTATCTTACAATGACCCCCCAATACTATCTGCTACCAGAATGCTACTTATACTGCCCACTACTATCTTCTAAGGAAGGGCACTACTTATATTACCCATTACCTGCTATTGGTAAACCATACACAGTGTCTCAAAAGAAAAGAGATGCAAGCAACTTGAAATTTTAAATTCTTCTTCATACCACTCAAAATAAAAATGGCCTCCCTTGAGATCCTGTTCCTTCAGCTCTATTACTTGATGTTAAAGTTTGAAAGGATCTGAAGCAATAAGAAAAGATGGGAAACATTTTATTTTATTTTATTTCCATAAAAGATATTGAGAGCACCGGTTTGACTAATATGTGTAGACAATGTGTCTTAAATGTACTCAGTTTCAAAAAGTCTCCTGTACTGTGGAAACACATCAGAGGTAATGTGAGTAGTTACTCCAGGAGCTTACAGTATTAAAATAAGATGTCAACCAAATGGATTGAAATCAGAACTCAGGGATCAGTTTCTGACTTAAGTTCAGGAGTATATTTTTGCTGATCACTCACCTAAATCTCTTGTCTCCAGAGCGTATAGCTGGAAAATCCACCAGTATTCTGCTTACACTGTCACAGTTCCGTTAGCCTCTGAGCAGCAGGAGGCTGGTGAAGTTAGCCTCCCATGTAAGACAACTTGAGGCATCTTCACTGAGTCCCCAAGGTGTTGTTACATTTCCAGTAACTTTAGCCCTGTTGGAAGATAAACAACCCAAGAGGAAACTATATCCAGCTTGTATTAGGTACTTTCCCATCACTGGGTCAAAACACTTGGCATCTACAATTTAAAGGAGGTGCGGTTTATTTGGAGTACGGTTTCCACTGGGTTCAATCCAGAGCTGGCTGACTCAAAGGCAGGTATGGCATGGTGGAAGGGCAGGTGGAGGACAGCTGTTCATTCCACAGCAGACTGAAGGCAGAGAGAAAAGGAAGGAGCCCTGGAAAAGAATACACCCTCCCATTTCATATCCCCAGTGCCCACTTTTAGCCCAGCCCCACCTCCTGACAGCAAATTTAGCTACTGAACTCACTGATGGCTGAATCCACTGATGTGAATAGAGCCTCTTGACATATAAACAGATGAGATTCAGAGGGAACCTTTTAGATCTAAACCATAAAATAGCCTTGGTTTAAATAAACTAATGAATGTTATGGGAAACAGATCCAAGATGAGGTTTTATGATGGGTACAATACCTTCTTTTCCATTTGGGTTTAAATTGATGTTCTTTATGCCAATATATTTTTAAGACATTTTAGGGGCCAGGGATTTAGCTCAGTGGTTCTGCCACTTGCCTCACAAGCACAAGGTCCCAAGTTCAATCCCTGGTACAAAAAAAAAAAATCTATTTTTAAGGCATTTTAAAACTGCAATGAAGTGGATGTACCATTGCAAAGCTGGGGATAGTAGACAATGAGTAACTGCACCTAACAATAGTGCTGGTTTCTTGCATGCTCAAGGGAGGGTAGGCACAAGAGGCTCTCCAAATAGAGACTTATTGGGAGTTAGCAAGCTACTCTTTGGGTTGAGAATAGCACCTTAGGAGCTGCATTTACTGCCATCAGTAATTTTATTCACATCAAATTCTTGCAGAGTTTTGATTTTTTAATTGGAGTTTTTATGGAGATTGAGGGGCCACAAGAGAAGAGAATAAGAATAAAAAAAGAAATTTGATGACTTTGTAGATTAGCCTCCTGTCCTCGAGAAATCTTTCCACAAATCTGCTGTTTCTCTTTTTGTGTTTTAAGTTTTAATCTACTTTTCTAATCTGAAGAATGTTGAGTATCTTATATTAAAATAATATCTACTTTTTATTGAGAACCAGCTCCACATATAGTATTTATTGCATGCATATTATATAATACATTATTTTATTGATTATATTTCATATTTTATCTCACTTTTATATAATTGTCTTATAGATATTATTTTATTTAATTATGCTCTATGAGGTAAGGATTATCATTCCCATTTTATAATGAATAAACTGAGGTTTAGATTAAGAAGCAGGCACAGGCTCCTTTCAGTACATGGTGGACCCAGGCTTCATTTGGCTGTAAAGGATATAATTTTAAACAATGAAAAGCAGCATCACCTTCCACATATCATGTTTGTATGTCTTAATTCAGGGTGAAATAGTAAATTTTATGGAGCTCTTAATGTTAGTAAGAAAGTGGCATGCTCACCAAATATTGGGGGAAAAAGGACAGTTCTTGTCTAGCAACAGGTGTCATTAAAGCCTGTATCTACTGAATAACTAGAAAATGAGGTGAGTTTACCTCATGTTTTTGTTTTTGTTTTTGCATTTATCAACTGCTAGTTCTATGTTATGGGAATGTCTCACAGGAATATTCTTTCATGGTGTTTTTATAGAGTAAGATATCAGAAAAAGGAAAAGGCCAGATTGTATAAATCTAAATTCATAATTATTCTGCCCTGCTTTTAATCATAAATCTTCCTTTAAAGATTAGAAAAAGACGCCGGGCATGGTGGCGCATGCCTGTAATCCCAGCACTGGGGAGGCTGAGGCAGGAGTATCACTGTGAGTTCGAGACCAGTCTGGGCTACATAGTGAGTTCCAGATCAGACTCAACTACATAGTGAGACCCTGACTCAAAAAAAAAAAAAATTAGATAAATACTTCTCAAATGCAGGAAGAAATGGATGGAGATAAATGTATTCATGGTTTAAACTGGAAATTCTCATCCCTGTGAAATTTGGGTGGTGAAGGGGAGATAATAGGCAGGTGGTTATGTCCTGTTATTTTCTATGGTTGATTGCACGTGATTGGATGATATGGAGTCGTAGTTCAATCAGGGCAAATTTAGGGAGGCTTTCCTCCTAATGTGTTTCCTTTTCTCTTTCCTGGTCACAGAGGCAGGGACCTATCAGCACTTTTGAAGATCCTCGAATGCCCTGTGGTTTCCAGTCCAATTATCACCAGCAAAGACCTTTCTTCCCATTCTGGGATGAGATGGCCACTCAGGAAGTTCCTACTGGCCTCGAACACTATGGCTCAGGTAGGAATATAAATAAAAGCTGGAGATGAGGAGAGTTGAAGGATGAGGGCTGCATGCTCTGAAATAATCTTGCCATGGCTTACGTGTGGACGGATGCTATTGTTCTCTGATGGAAAGTCCCAGGCTTTTTCAATAATTTTGCATTACTTTATTGTTCAACAGGAAGAAACTCTAGAAACAGGCCCAAGAGGGATTATTTTGGGTTTCCATTTTGTTAGCAGTTTTGCTAACTGAGCATTTCCTGACACTTGTTCACTTAGGTGGGGCTATGGACAAAAAGGCCTGCAAATTTTGCAATCAAAAGAGTAAACTGGTAAAACAGAGGTGCATGAATTACTTAGCTTTTTTACAGAGCAACATCTCTTCCACTTATCACCTCTTTCTGTCATTCTTCGTGTCTCTGCCCATGAGCACCAGTATTCCGCTTCTCTTTCCTCTGCCTGGCTCTGCCCAGCCCTTTATCACAGAACATCCTCTTTTCTCAGCATTCCCCCCTCTTCCTGGTCTTACTGGTGACAGTGCTGCCCCCTGGCGAGCAGGAGTCAGACTCCTCCAGGGAGCTCTGTGGAATACACAGCTCTGCTTTCCCAAGGACCTCAGAAGTTTGAAGTCCTTGCCTCTGTTCTATTTTCTAGACTTATTCTATTTCTTACAAATACTGTTAGTCCTTGCTTACCTGCTAGCCTTTTTAAGAACTACAAAATGTTAAGCTTGAATTTGAGGATTAAAAAAATGATCAATTCAGATATTAAGTGCAATTTTCCATGAGACCTTGTTAAGATAAACGTATCTAAATACCAAATTGCCAGTCAAAATTTGCGTCTTATCCCAGGATGGATTCTTAACACAAGGAAGGTCATTGGTCTTACATATTGAACCCAATTCTGAGGAATTACATGGGTGAAATCATGGGATTGGGAGGCTTTCTGGAAACAAATGCAATTTTCTTTTTCATTTCCCTTTTACCTTTCCTAACTTTATGATAATCTATTTTTGTGATAGTGGAGGAATAAAACAAATGTTTGCTTTGTTGTCCGTGCTTTATCTTTCATCATCAGACATAAATGCAGCCATACCGGGCACACTGCTGTAGTACTTGGTAGGTTATGTGCTGTGGTGGGTACAGAAGGCATAGAAAGTTGCTTTGCAATTGCCTGGTTCCTCTTCAGGGCAGAATGAAGTCAACTCCTATGTTTCATAGTCTCTTCACTCATTAGCCTTTGATCCTTGAGGTAGTTTTTGGCACCACCTGGGCTGCAGGCGTAATAACATTTATACTAGCACATTCTGCCTAGTACGTCAGTTCGTCTATGCATAAATCCAAATATCTTAGCTTACACAAAAAGGCTAGGAAAATTTTGTATCTGTTCACAGACAGGTTTAGCTAAAGAACTCAAATGATGAGAATGCAAATCTTTAAAATTCTAAGCAAGAAAGATACTTATATAAGTGAAAGTTCAAATAGTTGTATCAGTATTCGTATAATCCTTCAATCCTATGAATGCCACAGGGGTGAAGTTTTATATCTTCCAGTAAAACTGAGATTAAAGCTGCTTTGCATTGCCTTTGGCTCTGGGTGGTTCTTTTGCTTGCTATAAGTTACATCTTTTTAATGGTTGAAGATATCTCTACTCTTGTCCGTGGTCTCAAGATAAGAATGCCTCTTTGAAAGAAACAAAGACAGAAAAGAATGCCTCTTTGTGTTGGTCAGCTTTCCCATTGTTGGGACAAAATACATGCCACCTGCAACTTAAAGGACAACAGTTTATTTTCGCTCAGGTTCACAAGTTTCAGTTCAAAGTCTATGTCCTCCAACTAGACCTCACCTTCTAATAGCCCAGTCAGCTTTGAACTCGTCAATGGGCTAACCCATTGATGAAGTTATGGCTCTCACGTGCCAATCATCTCTCCAGGAGTCTCTGAATGGAGTCAAAGTTGGCAAGATTAATTGGTGCATTTTTCCTCATAGCAAAAAGACACAGTCCTTCTCTTCCTCCCAAAAGGAGAAGCACATAAACTCCCAAAGGGAGAAAAGTATGTATTCTTTTCCTTGTTGAGGTCCTCAAATGTTAAAAAAAAATCAGTTTTTATTCCAAGGCCAATGAGACAGTGACTGTAAAGCCTGTGACCAATGCCACTGGTGAAACTGCCTTTAAAATTCATAGGTTTGTTGCAGTATAGTACAGGCTACTTTACTGTTGTCAGATGGAAATGGGAGCCACCCAGACCTTCGTTGCCACCAACTACAGCACAGCAAGGTTAGATAGCTTCAATGGGAGTTTGACTCCCTGCCAGTTAGTGGGAATGTCTTGGAAAATGTGGCTCCCACTGCCCTAGGCTCCCTCTGATGGAAATATCTGGCAAGAACTCTGAGCCTTTGCAGCACCCCCTGTGCTGCGTGAGCTGTCCAGATAAAGGAGATGCAGGAACTGTTTCTGGGCTGTGGTCCAGCTTGCCTCAGTGATTGGTGTCATTTGGAAAGCAATCATGGGGTTATAAGGAAGGGAGATGAAGGCATGAACCAACCAATGATTTCCACAGCTGTGGCACATTTCCTTGGAGATGTATTGAATAAAAAGAAAGGGAAAATACTTCATATTTTTTCATCTTCCTTTATCCTATTTATAACTTCAGTTTCCTTCCCTTCCTCTGTCTCATGGCTACTTCCCAGTCCTGCTTCCCCCTCACATTTGTGCTCTCAGAAGGGATGAATGAACTTCTTTTGCAAGGATTACACATCTGTCAGTGACTGGAATGCAGACTGGAGGGGCCCTCAAGGAAGGACCAGGCCTTCTCACAGAAGCCTTCCTCTGAATGTTGTTCCTATTCATGAAGGGCAGAGGCTGAGGAGGAGGACAGGGAAAGAGGGAGGGCCACAGAGAGAATGCAGCTGAGAGAAAACATGAATGGGGAAAATCTGAACAGGTGAGGGGAGAGAAGACTCAGTAACCAAGGCTGGGAATCATTGGGACAGAACAGACAGTGAAGAAGTGTGGAAGAAGAAAGACCAGCTATGTGGAAGTAGGCAGAAAATAAAGATTAGTAGAGAGTGATAGGAAGAAAAGATGAAAAATGAATGGGAAGGGGAAAAGAGTGGGGAGGCCCAGAAAAAAGACAAGGCAAGAAAGGGAAGGAAAATGATATGAAAGAGAAAAAAAGATGATTCTGGGGACATTAGCTATACAGCTAAAAAGGGAAGCCACATTTGCATGCAATTGCCTGTGCAGCTGTACATTTCTTTGGGACAATCTTGTAGTCATCATTTTCTTTCATTTTTATCTCCTCCTCCCGTCCGCCCCTGCCCGCTTCTCCCTGTCAGCCTGAAGCCATTATCAAGAGCCAATGAGGCTGAGAGCTAGTGTTCTGCATGAATGAATGGGTCTTTTCTGTCTCGGCTTCTCATCATCCTTCTGTCAGGGAACCTTGTGTATCAATGGAGCCCCTTACACAAGACAGGGCTGCAATGTCTGCTACTGTTTATAGTCTGACTGGAGTGGAGCCACTGACCCTGCCTCCTCTCTGGTCCTTCTCTCTGTTCTGTCCCTCACCTTCAGCCCTTTCCCTCAATCATCATAAGAAGAATCATTTTTTACATGTCAAGCTCTTGCTCTCTGTCTCTAAGGACTCACTAATGTTTTATTGTCATTAACTATTACCACTAATTCCTATCCACAGCCCAGTTGTGAATCTACAGAGTAGATGCAAACCATTTTTAGGCATAAGCAGTGAGCCTTAGATTGTATCTTAGCCTTAGCTGAAGTCATGCAACACCTGTTTTCCCCTGGGAGCTAGACACTAATATCAGAGACCCCAGGGAGTACCCAGGCCTCAAGGCCACTTACATCACAGAACTGCCAGAGTCCAAGCCCATATTTGACTCCCCAAGTGCGGAGTCCATATCTCCCACTTATGAAGACCATGAATGACCATAGTGCATGTTGGAAAATACTTGGCAGCATTGGAAATGCTTACTTGGCACCCATCCAGAGTGATATAGTGTCAAATTGTTTTTTCACTTCAGGGATTATTTTTCAAATCCAGAGATAGATTTATTTTGAATCAATCAAACTTGTGGATGTGATGCTGCTGTCAAAGTACACCTTTGCAAAAATACTTTCTTAGAGTTGAGAAGCAATCTATAACAGAGAACTCCAACTAGCCTTCATGAGAGTAGTCCTATGGCCTTTTTGCCATATGACTAGGTTTGAGAAATAAGACTGTAGTGCTTTTCTTCTTGTACAGTGCAGTTTGATATGCTTTGGTTGCTGGCCACAGTAAGACCTTTGATATCCTCATGCACAGAATACTTGTCACTTGCCCTTCTTGGTGAGACAGAGTGGACATATTCTACAGTGGTAAAGAACCCGTACTTTGGAACTGAATTTCTTGGATTTTCATAAATGGTGACTTTGGACAATTTAATTTTGGTACTTCAGTTTTCTCCTGCATACAGAAGTTTCTCATAGTGTATTCCCCGGACTAGCAGCATCAGTATTGTTGGCAATGCGGTGCTTTAAACCCTACCCCAGACCTACTGGACTAGAATTTCCCAAAATGCAGCAGAATCGCCTGGAGAGTTTGTTACATGTAATTTGTAAGGTTCCACCCCCAGGGTTTTGGGGTCTAAATGAGGGGGTAGGAATTTGCATTTCTAATAAATTCTCAGGTACCACTGACGTTACTGCTTAGAGGTCACACTTTGAGAATCATTCAGTTAATTTATGCAAAGCATAAAACAGTGCCTCACTTAGTATCTGTGATATGGATGTTTGCAATTTTAAATCATTGTCCTCAAGTGACTTCTCGCTTACTGTCCTGAAATACATTTGGGAGTCCAAAATTGTCTGGGAAGTATTGAGTCAGAAAGTGACCACCGGATTGGTTAAACATGTTGTATGGTCGGTGCCACAGACTGGATACTAAGAAGACAGACAGAGAAAGGGAAAAGCCCAGTCCTTGCATGCAAGCAACTTTTATTCAAGTGTGTATATTTACATGGT